AGACTGAAACAATCCTATTTTTGGTTGGAGGCCATTGCTATTAACTCTTCCTATCTGGACAGGTGATGCTGTCATCCTTGTCGGAGACTTTAATGCCAATTCAGCTTCTTTGACGATTCAGGCGGGGGCCATCAAGATCTCCATTTCGTTGATAATGCGGTCAACAGGTCACAAGGTTCCGTTTTACAGGCAGCACAACTTGCTCTACACTTCTTGCCCAGTCACAGCCTATGACCAGCATAAATCCAAAGAGCTGCACTAACACACCATTTGTATTTGACCCCAGCATCTTGTTTCTAGTAGCAAGAATGCTTCTAGTAGTATGGCCAGGAGCTACGTTCGTAGCGTCCTCTTGCTCCATTTGTAGCGATGCCCTTTGTTCCGAACGTAGCTTCTTGTTCCTACTAGTAAGGCCAGGAGCCCCGAACGTAGCGTGCAGGCCTTGTGGTCTCGATTGGTTTTGCTGCAAAGTGGAACTTCTTTTGGCGGAGTCGCACCTTGGCAAATGGGGTTCCGCAGCTTTTCTGCATGTTTTCTTCCGAGCAGGGTGCAGGCCCATCGCTATATTAGGTTGGAGGCCATCGCTAGTAGGGTGGAGAGCCATCGGTATTGTGTCTGAGGACAACATCTTTGGCAACATGGATTCAGACTCTGTGGTGAGCCGTAAGAACTTAGGGAGTGGAGGCAGGAAGCAGAGGCAAAGACGCCGAGTCTCCCCAAAAAAAACCAGGAACCACATGAGAGCTGTGTGTGAGCTATGCCGCATCCAGTTTCTATTAGCGTCCTCCAGTGGCCTACCCCGCAGGCTCAACTTAAGACAAGTAAACGCAACGCTCTCCAAGTCCTACCCAAGGCTCAAAGGTGAATCCAAAGGCGTTCTTGTTGTGGACCACTGATTTTCTCTGCGTGCAGGCAGCGACCATGACGCACTTTCAGTCACTGTGGCCATCGGCGAAGCGCCATCGGCCGTCAACGTGACGAATGGGTCGCAGCTCTCGCCAAGGGGTACAGTCAATGTCTCAGCGTTGCCAACGGCGGTGGAGGCCGCTGTTGGGGATTCAGAGGAACTGGACGTGTTGTTGGAGCCAAATTTCAGCCGTGTGTTCTGTGTTTTCATGGAACTGGATACAGATTTTGAGAGTTCTCAGAGACTCAAGAAAATGCCGGTACTGCTACTCTTAGTCTGATGATTCGCCAGCATCAATGCAAGTTCTCTGTGGAAGTGCATTGTTTAGGAATGAAGTATAGTTTCACGGTGGACTTGCGCACTTGCTGTTTTGTGGAAAGCACTTGGTGAGGGATTAGAGAGATGACATGAGAACAAGCTACTAGCGATGCCCTTTGCTCCTAGTAGTAAGGCCAGGAGCCCCTAGTAGCGTCTTGCTCCTAGTAGCGATGCCCTTTGCTCCTAGTAGCTTCTTGCTCCTATGTTGGGTTTCTGAGTTCTCAGTCCAAAACTCGAAAGAAGAGGCAGAAGCTTCTTGTTACTACTAGTAAGGCACCTGTTACTACTAGCGATGCCCTTGTTCCTAGTAGCGTCCTTGTTACTACTAGTAAGGCACTTGTTACCAATAGCGATGCCCTTGTTCCTAGTAGCTTCTTGTTACTACTAGTAAGGCACCTGTTACTACTAGCGTGGCACTTGTTGACATAATTTTTTCCTGGTCCGGTGCATGCGTTGCGTCAGCGGACGCACATATGACATTTTCAGCTGGACCTTGAATGCTACTTCCAGTATCGCTTCTACCTGATATGTATGGTCTCAGCTTTCACTTACACTGAGAACATTGGCGACACGACACCAGTTTGCAGGCAAACTGCTTGGCATGAGAGGTCTGATGTTCCCAATCTGATCGCGTCTTTCGGTGAGGCAGCAGAGGCATTGCAAACTAATCCTCCGGGCAACCGTTGGCAGAACTTTTGGTGCGGTTTGCTCGAGTCAGATGTGGGCTATGCACCTTGGATCACAAAGAGCTTGATGACCAACTCGAGTTAGGCTTTTGCTTCCCCTCACCTTTCCGCCCCTGTCAACATTGAAACGGGAACATTTCAATCTATCTTTGATTCTTCTTTTTTAAATACAAGTCTATTTCTATATTTTTGAAATATCTTTCTATCTATCTTTCTTTCTTTCTTTTTGCGCTAGGTCTTGGCTTCAATGACCCCTCACTACTGCTCACAAGGCTTTTCAGAAGACACTTCCACTGTTGCAAGCACCCACTTTCGAGCGCAAGAGGTCCTCTCTGGCCGGTGGGATGGGAAACTCGACACGGCACGTATCCACGCTGGGCCAAAAGGACTCAACGCGCAACTCAAGCTCCTTTGTGAATTCAGGTGCCTTTTTGCAAGAATGCTCACCAGGAGCTTAAAAAACTCAGACGCTTGCCCAAGAATTGTATTGAGTTTCACATGATCCCAAGTATGGAATGTATGGAATATGAGCCAACACTGGAAGAAAGCATTCTCAAACACGAAGCAAACTATCAAAATACAACGCACAATCAGCTTTCTTCACAATCATAAAAACCCAACAGCGTAGCAAAAACTGCGTGCCTGGCTGTGCCCCAACCACGATGAACCGAGCACAGCTGGGCAAGTCAGCCCGGTATGGATCTCAAGGAAAATGTGAGACATTGGATACTAGCAGTGATGGCCTCCAACCTAGTTACTCTTGGAAAGGATTAATTTGATAAAACATGATGCAAGCATTGTAACAAGTGCCTTACTAGTAGTAGCAAGGACGCTACTAGGATGGTGCAAGCATCTCACTGGCGAAGTTGGAGGGTCAATTGGACTGAACATAGGGCACACGGCGCCCAACAGAAGGGCAACTAAGCTTCCACGCTTGCCACAAGTTGTTGAAAGAACCTCTCAAGGCATGAAATGACGATAGGATTGCTACAGACTACTTACTCTTTATTTATTGCTATTGGCTCATATGACTCATATGCTACTAGGTTGGAGGCCATCACTAGTAGGGTGGAGGCCATCGCAATTAGCTTGGAAGCCATTCTGGGGGGAACACCTTGGTGACCCTTTCGAAGCATCCAGTCCCCCCGAATGCCTTTACTACTAGCGATGCACTTGTTCCTAGCAGCGTGGCACTTGTTTCCAGTTTCCGGTCTGAGATTTAATCTATTTTAAATCTAATTTGTTACTACTAGCGTGGCACCTGTTACTACTAGTAAGGAATGCCTTCGGTTTTGGTTTCGAAAAGCCTAGGTGCCGGTCAACGACACGTGGACCCGAACTGTTCAGCACCAGCCGCGTGCCGGAGACAGCCATGACGTGGCTTCTCCTCAACGTTGCTGCCGTTTGTGTCAACAGGAACCGAGGCAACACCGCTTGGTGCACCCAAGTTGCCGAACTCTGCTCCAACTGGAGCACCGCATCGAACCGGCTTCTTTTGGAAGAGACAGAAAATGACCAAAACAACAAAAGATGCAAACAAAACAAACGCATGACACATCAACTATGGTTCATTCCGGGTCTTTCGCATCTCTTTATATAGACCGAAACCGAGTCGTGACCGACTTCGGTCCACCCAACGGAGAGCACCGACGGAGCACGGTTTCCGCAGGTGCAAATCCTGGACCTGGAAAGATGGAGGGCCGAGGTGCGAAATGTACGGCAGTGCCCCTTGTCTAGCACTGAAGGCAACGAAGGCACCGTTTGGATATCGAAGGGTTTTGAAAGCAAAGCAAAGAAAAAGGAAGGAATCAAAAACACCATGAAATCAGTATGATATATCTAGATATGTGTAGGATCTATGAACCATGTTCAGTTTGGGATGTGATCTTTCAATGTCAAGCTGTTTATGTCCTTTTCTCTTCACAAGTGCTGAGGCGCCACAGAGCAAAGAGCAGGTGCCCGGCTTTGTCTCTGGTCTATCAGCGGTTCAAGCCTCCGCGGAGGCTCCGGTGAAACGTCGGTCGAAACGTCGGTGAGACTCGACCGATCGGACGTGCAAGGAAGACAGTTCCGTCCGACTAAGCAAGGACAAAGAAAAGCAGCAAGTGCTTTTTTGGAAACCTATTCATTTACAACACATAACAACAACGGCTTGCTTGCAAGGCATGATGCTTTTAGCATGTACTGTGTGCAAAGACCGGTGTATTGTGTGTGTGCGGCGCAGGCAGCCCGTGCTGCTCTTCACGCTGTCACCCACATACGCTGAGCTGTTGCTCACATCAACACCTTTGGCTCATCTATTTTGAACACCTAGTAGCGATGGCCTCCACCCTACTAGCAATGGCCTCCACCCTAGTATTGTGTTGAGGAAGTTTAAGCATCCACTGGGTGTGATGAAAATGATACATTAGGAAATAGATAACAGAATAAATAGCATCCACTAGGTCCTAGTTATTGGTCCTGTTTTCATCAAGAAAGACTAGGTGCTTGAGATGACGTCAATACCGACCGATCGACTCAACAGCTCAGCGCATCCTGCCGGACTTGGTGAAGACTGGCTTATTTTCCCTGCGTATGAGGCGATATCTAGACATCCAAGAGATGGAATTGATATCTAAAAGAGAGAAGAAACAAGAAACAACGACGACAGAAAAGAAAAGACTGGTCCAAAAAGATCTTGAGGAAAAAGGAACACAAAGAACAAGAAAAAAAAGGAACAGTGAAGAAGAAACAAGGAAAAACACATCAACGTTTTGACGATTTTGTGATTCCGATCTGCCTGGCATCTGCCTGGCCTCCTTTTGATCCGCGACGGCCAAAAGCACTGGCCAAAGGCGCCAAAGGTGCTGGACGCGAGTTGCGATGACAACCGTAGCCGTAGTCGTCGCGAGAGCAAAGCGAATCAGACTTCAGCTTCTGCTTCCAGTTCCTTCCAACTTACTAGCGATGGCCTCCAACCTAGTAGCAGCCTCCAACCTAGCGATGGCCTCCCACCTAGCAAAATGATCGCATTTTGCACTCATTCCTGGGACCGTCTTTCTTCACTTCGGAGATCGTGCCTCTCGGAGACTTCACCGCGGAACCGACAGGTGGCGCTGTCGGACTTTGGCACCGCGATTCGGTGCGAGCGTCGAGTTTGGTCGAGCTGAACGAAGACAGAGGGCCTTCCATTCCGAACGAAGAGGTGTAAAGGGTCCAAACCAAAATATGGAGTAGTAACAAGTGCATCGCTACTAGGAACAAGTGCCTTACTAGTAGTAACAAGAAGTTATTAGACACAATAAGCTACTAGGAACAAGTGCATCGCTACTAGTAACAAGAAGCTACTAGGGGCTCCTGGCATCGCCACTAGGAACAAGGACGCTACGTTCGGAGATTCTTGTTCCTAGGCCTTGAAGGCGTGGTTTGAGAGACTTTCATTTGGTGGAGTGCAGGGTGGATCGTGGGGAGAAGGTCTACACTCGAGTGGGCACACCTGCCTTTTGGGCTCCGGAGGCAGGAAGAGAAGGTTTTCGATTTTGTTTTTGACAACTTGAACAGTCAACAAGTTTCAACTTGCCAAGTGGTCCGCTCTATTGGTTGGCTTGATCATCGAGACATGTAAATAGGTCAATGGCAGACGTGGAAAGATGCATACTGACAGACTGCGATGTTCTCTCTCTGCGCTGCGTTGCCAGATCTTCGTCGGCGCATACGACTTCAAAGTGGATGTGTGGGTGGGTGGAGTTCGGCACACGAATGTCAAACTCAACGATTTTTGGTTAGTAAGGCACCTTGCCACTAGCTTCTTGCTACTAGTAATGCGCTTGTTACTAGTTGCAATGTACAGGTATTACTAGTAGCTTCTTGGTATTTCTTCATTGTTTCCATCGTTTTCTGAATCTTACAAGACAGCTTCTAACGAATGTCAGACTTAAACCACTGTATGCAAGTGGGTCTTTGGGCATTACTACGAAGAATCATGCTTCTTCGAACAAAAGTCACGACGGGACCATATCTCCAGTGTTTGTGCTTCATATCGGAACGACGCCCATGCCACTCCTGGAGTTCTTCAGACCTGCCAAACCTCGTTGCCCTTGTTTTTCTTTCGCGTTCTGAAGGCTTCGGATGAAGGCCGAAACCGATGGCCTTCCGTTTTCAGGCCTTGGGAGTGACCACCTACATTCTTCTTTGCGGCGCCTTTGCCCTCAGATGTACAGTCATGAGTCAACACTGCTTCACAGCAGTAGAGCCTGTAAGAAGGCATTATTCTTTTTGCCACAATGACCTGTTTAGTGGCAAGCGGTGTTCATTTGGTTGAAGCCTTTCGGGGCGACCTACCGGTCAAAGCGGTTGGCTTCTTGACGTTCGTGCTCTGCGAAACTCGTTCTACCTGCCGACCCAAACATGTAGCGAAACTCACTGAGACCTTACCCTATGATGGACAAGAGGAGATTTGTCGACGACCAGGCTGGAGACCTTACGCTGCTCTGCGCGAAGAAAACGATTCGAAGAATGAGATGAATTGGTCCGAATGCAGAGCATAATGACTGGAGGAATTGATTTCGTGACCAAATCTCAACTGACCGGTTGATTGATGTCCTGAACATCGGTCATCTCGTTGTTTTACATGCCATCATGTGTCGTTTCAGTTGCCTGTGTCATTCAGTTGTGAGGGTGGCTGGGGTCTTGAAGTATCGAGTATGTACAGTAAGTACCAGTAGTACCCTTCTCTACCAACAGCGATGGTCTCCAACCTACTAGGGATGGCCTACCAGCAATGGCCTCCAACCTAGTTGCAGAGTACCAGTAGCCTTCCCTACGAGTTGCAGACGCTAGTCTTGGCCTTTAGTCTTGGGTTTGGACCAAGGTCTTGGAGCTACCAATAGTGTCCAGACGCTCCCCCCTTTTTTTCCTTTTCTTTCCTTTCTTATTCAAGGCCGTCGCGAGACTCGGATGGCCGGAAAGCGAACAAATCCTTCCCTTAAAACCTCTTTCTAATAGCGAACCTTGTTACTACTAGTAAGGCACTTGTTACTAGAAGCGATGCACTTGTTCCTAGTAGCTTCTTGTTACTACTAGTAAGGCACTTGTTACTAGAAGCGATGCACTTGTTCCTTGTAGCCTTCTTTAAATTCTTTTCCTTTCTCTCCTTTCAGGCCCTGAGGAGCCACTCGTCACTTTACCGCCACACACGACCAAAGCCTGCAGCGACCTTAGGAAGAAGGCAGACATGTCCACATCCAGAATCGCAACGAAAGATGCTCTTCCTCGTGGAAGAGGTGATGTGAAAGCACTGTGGCTGCCCTGGCAAGGCCAAGAATTCCTTGAAGCATGCTTGGTCAAGGCAGGATAGTCGTCCAAAGGTAACATTCTTGGAAGGCAAGAAGGTCAAAATACTAGTAACAAGGACGCTACTAGGTGGAGGCCATCGCTCCTAGGGTGGAGGCCATTCCTACTAAGAACAAGGATGCTACTAGTTGTGAAGACTTCGATAGGAAGGCGCTGTCAAGTGTTTCCACGCGATAACAGGCGCATTGACTGGACATTTTCTGTGACAGCACATGGTTGCTGCTCAAAAAGACATGTTTTGGAGTTGAAGACGGGTTGAATGCTCAACAGCTACTTTTTGTAGATTTTGTCTAGAACACCTGCAAGTTGATTAAAGACAGGTCTTAAGACTTTACGACAGGTCTTGGACGGACACCGCTCTAGGACAGTGAGACTCGCCGTGTGGCTAAAGAGGTCCCAATCTCAGACAACGAAGATGAAGACGAAGTGTCTCAGAAGCTTCGGCAAAAGACACCAAGCTTGAAGAACCGGTCATTTCCGGTGATAACACGAAATCCGACCAGTCCTGGCGCTGCCCTACCGCCCTACCGAAGGGCACGCCGGAAGGTTCAGACCTCCGAATGGTTCCAACGCGAAGCTGAAGATTCTCCAATGGTCGAAGCCTCGAACAGCGAAGAGCGGAAGAGAAGGACCGAAGGGATGACCTCCAACGGTTCTAGCTTGTTTTTAACCAACCTTTTTCGCGATGGCCACGAAGCGTAGCGGCCTCCAGCGACTGAGCCACCTAGAGCGCTGTGAAGACATCGGATCACGACTTCGAGGTCGGTCTAGGACGCGAGGTGAGGTTTGAGGTCTGGAGTTTCACCAGTTTGTAGAATTTGCAGCTTTCTTGTACCAAGTGCATGCATTGAGGGTCCAATACCATAAGGAAAGGCTGTAAAGAAAAGAACTCAGAAAGGAAGGAAGAAAGGACAGGAGGAAGGAATAAACGAATCTAAACATATGACAATATCACACTGAGCAATCCTGTGTCTGGCCTTTGTGGCCCCAGGCTGCGGAGAAGGAGGAGGCGCATTTGCATTTCGGGCTTCAGCAAAGAAGGGATGTCGCACGGGCCAAGTAGTAGTATTAGTAGTAGTAGTAGCAGCAGTAGCAGTAGTTATGTTATGTAGTATGCCTATGCAGTATGTAGTATGTTGTAGTAGCAGCAGGAGCAGTAGTAGTAGCAGTAGTATGTGGTGGTGGTGGTGATGGTGGTAGTAGTAGTAGGAGTCGTGCTAAAAAACAACCAGCTGTTAAGTTTGCCACCAGTAGTTGAGTTTGAGTGCTTATGTCAGCTCAGTCGAAGCAATTACGTTGAAAAGTGAAGGGACGGGAATGACGTCTATGACGGCTCCGCAAGTCATATTCTTGGCAACAAAGATGGAGGCCTAGTAGGTTGGAGGCCGGACAGCCTCCAAGTTGGACGCCGCTCTTAGGTTGGAGGCCATTGCTATTAGGCTTTACTTTATTGGCCTTACTCCAACACTGTGGTTTTTCATATTCTTGGTGCTTCCAGGCTCCAAAAGACAAGTTCCGTGACCTGTTGGAAGGCGACGGTCTGCTTGCGCTTTTCGACCGTTTCTCCACCCGTCATTCGTCCGAAACAGGAGTCGTTTGTGCGACAGACTGGGACGAGTTTCGTTGCACGGTTGCCGACGCCCAAGTGTTCATAGCTGTCACACCTGGCAAAGACCAAGGTCTTACGGTAACCTGCTGTGGTGCTATTAAGCTCTGCTGCAACCTCAGTGACGGTCGCAAGAGAGAAATGTTCGGGGTGCTTCTGATTTCCGAAACCAGATGCGAATGCTTTAAGATCCACGTTCTCTACTAGGAGCAAGAAACTTTTTAGTAGGTCTTTGAAGCTTCTTAGTAGCAGAATAGCTACTAGTAGCGACCGAAGCTTCCTTGGGAAGCGTTTCACCTGTAGCAAGAAGCGCTATGAGTAACGGAGTAACAATAGCTCGAACGTGCTTCTGAAGGTTTGGACTACTTCTGCGACGAAAAGCAGGCGAACGGGATCGGCTGGGCCGGACCAGTTGGAACGCCTGTTGTTTTGGAAGGCTTCTGGTTTTCCAGTAGCTTCAAAGACCTACTAGTAGCTCCTTGCTCCTAGTAGTAAGGCCAGGAGCCCCTAGTAGCATTCTCGTTACTAGTAAAAATGCTACTAGTAGCAATGCCCTTTGTTACTACTAGCGATGCTCTTGCTCCTAGTAGCTTCTTGTTCCTAGTTCCCTTTGCTACTAGTAGCTTCTTGCTACAGGTGAAACGATTTCCAAGGAAGTTTGTAGCTCCTAGAAAGCTTCTTGTTACTAGTAAGGCCAGGAGCTACGTTCGTAGCGTCCTTGCTCCTAGTAGCGATGCTCTTTGTTCCTAGTAGCTTCTTGTTCCTAGGCCCTTTTTCTCTCTTGCTTTCAAGAAAGCTGCCCTCCACAAAAAGCCATTGAATTGTTCGGACACTTTTGAATGAGATGATCCTTACAGAAGGTGGAAGGCAGATGTTCATTTAGACTTTTTTTTTTGGATCATTGTTTCGTTACGATGTTGTAGGTTCAGTGTACACACTCTTTGAAGGGCCTTCATTGTACGAGGTTTGCTGAAATATGTTGTGGGCTTGATAAATACTTGGCAGCCTTGCCAGAATCATCCAACACAGGTGAATGCTAGGTGGCTAGGGAGTGTATCCTGTGGGTCGATTTTGAGGTAGAAGATGACCACAAATTATTCAAAATTATTCAAGATCAACATTATTCAAATTGTAATTTTGGATTGCTAGGCCTGCTAGGCTGGCCTTTGGGCTTTGTTGAGCTTTGTTGGGCTTTGTGTCATTTTAGGTTTGTGGCCATTCCTTGTGACGTAGGTGGCATTTGTGCAAGGTATGCACTCCACACCTAAGGCCTTGCCTTGTGAATTTTGCAGGTTTTGGACCTTGGTTGTGTTTTTTTCTGGGCCGGGACACCAGGTGGAAGCTGCTGCAGCGCGCTGGTCGAAAGCTTCCACCAAGTCCTCTGGGAAGGCGATGGGTGGATTTCAAGCGAAAAGGCAGATTTCAAGCGGCGACACGCCGATGTGGAGTTTTCTCCATCGAGGTCGCGTCCGGAAACGTTGATTTCAAGCGATTTCAACCTAAGAGCGATGGCCTGCTACCTATACCAGCGGCCTCCAATGTTTGCCGTTTTGAAGTGGATAGAACGCGTCGCAAAGTTGATCGGAGAAAAGCGTCGCAAGAGATGCTACTAACAAGAACGCTACTAGGGGCTCCTGGCCTTACTACTAGGAGCAATGTTCGCTATTAGAAACAAAGGGCATCGTTAGAAACAAGAATTAGAACGCACAAGCGTCGGTTTTTTTCCCGTCCAGGCGAAGACACTCTCTGGCCTCGTTGAGAAGGACGTTGTGCCTGTTTTTTAGGTCTCGAGATGCTTCAAGTATCCTATTAGGTTGCTTTTAGGTTGGATTCCTACTGCATTTTTTCCATGTAAAAAAGGGAAAACACGTGAGCAGGCAAGTTAATCGAAGTGGCCAATCCTATGACTGATCGGTCTTGTTTCAAGGTCTTGTTGGAGGCGGGTTACCTGGTTCCCTGATTTTTCGAGAGTTTGTCAGGATGTCTTTGAGAAGCAGGCAACGGATCTCTCCAAGCAGATCTCGACAAGTCTTTTGCAGCATCAGGAGATTCCGCTGTTGTTTTCCTTATATAAGTCTTTGACTCTTGGCATTTTCTAAGAGATGGCCTCCAACCTACTAGCGATGGCCTCCAACCTAAGAGCGATGGGCTCCAACCTAGAAGCGATGGCCTCCAGCTTGTGTGGCTTGGGGTTGACAGTTTCAGCACATGTACTAGCATGTGAACGATCCTCGTTCTCAAACTGTAGGACTCTCTGCGACATTGAGCAGTGACTTCGTTCATATTTCAGACTATAGATGTAAAAATTGCATGGATTTTGATGAGGAGACTCTTGAAAGCAGCAGTTGGACACAGTCGATGTGATGTTTTCAAAAGGACAAGATGTGATGTTTATTGCCTTTTACTTTCTTTCTAGAACCAACTGCTCATTTTGATTATTTTCAGCTCGTTATCATTCTGTTGGATTTTGGCTGCTTTGGTTTGCCTCGGTTCCATCCACTCGAGCGAAGTGCTCGAGCGAGATGGACCCGATCCTCGTCTGGGCGCAGCTTGCGCAACCTGCGCAGATTGCGCCGCTCGCGCTCGAGAGTTTTAACGCGGACACTGCGTCGACATGAGTTTCATGCAGTGAAACCTGGCGGGCGAATGGGACACGGCACAGATGCATTGATGTCTCGAGTGTCTCCAGTGTCTCGTCTCCTTGAAGAATGCACTTGCTTCGCTTGCTTCGCTTTGCTTCGCTTTGCTTCGCCTGGAGACGATACGAGGAGTGAAGACCTGGATTCGCAGTCCTTTAGCAACTTGATGCTCAAAGCTAGATATAGCAGCATGGAAAGGTCTGGGTTCAGCTTGAAATGCATCGGCGCATTAGAAGGTTCCCCAAAAAGAAGCGACAAAATCAAGCCTCAAATGGCTGAGGAAGGTAAGGTCGTACCCTCGCGGAAACAGCTAGGTCCGCCCAACACAGGTTGCACCCATTGCCACACAGAGACCTCTCTGAAGCGACGCGAGCAGATACGACGGCGTCACAGCCATGGTCCGGCCCTGAGGTGTTGAAACAGTCTGTTCCTTTGGCTGTTCCTGGCATTTTGCTTTCTTCTTTACCGTAAAAAACACGACCTTTCTCTCTTTCTTTCTCATTCTCTTTTCAGATTTTGGGGCTTTTTCTTTCTTTTTCGACGCATCTGCGGTCCATCTTTGTCCGATCAGGTCGACTCGATCCGTTTCGACTCTGAGGCGATGCGAAGCGGCGCAGGTTCGCTTCGCGACGCTTCGCGTCGCGTCTCGCATCGAGCGGAGACCGCGACGCACGGCACGGCCGAGGACCCCGCCTTTTGGCCTTTGGCTTTGCGTTTGGCTTCGCGTTTGTGCATCCGAAGCCAGGTGTGGAAGGTGTGAAAGTATCAGTCGGCATCCTCTTCTGCCCTCCCTAGATAGCAAGCTGCAAGCAGATGGCAAAACAATTTCCTTTTGGCTTGAAACACTGCTTAGAAACGGCCGGTTCGGAATGACTGCCTCACCCCTTCCTATTTGCAAGAAAAAGGACACAAGGAAGAAGGATATGAATATGATTGAATATGTCTTTAAGCAGAACACGGTTTGGTTTCTAAAGCAGCTTTCTTCGCTGAAACCGCACTCGACACGTTTTCGTTCCCGTTTTCGCTGCGAAAGCGAAGCGGAGGCGTTCGTCGCACTCAGATGCGAGCAGGACCTGAGGCGTTGAACTCTGTCGCACAAAGCCCCGAACGTAGCGTCCGATCGCTCCTAGTAGCGATGCCAGGAGCCCCCAGTAGCGAACATTGTTCCTATCTTGATCTTTTTTGTTCACTTTGTGACTTTGTGTTTCATTTGTTTGCTGGTTTGTTTTAGTTTGCTCTTTCTACAGTTGTTTTCAGATATCCTTTTTTGTTTGTTTTCGTTTATGCAGGTGAAAGGCAAACTGACGCCGCTCTACGATTACGTCTTGGTGAAGTCAAAGGAGAGGGCTTTGGGAACTTCAAGTCCTAACCTCATAGACTCAAAGCTTCCAACCTTGATGGCCTCCACTCTAGTAGCGATGGCCTCCAACCTAGAAGCGATGGCCTGCAACCTACTAGCGATGGCTTCCACCCTAGTAGTGGTGGCCTCCACCACAGCCTCCAACCAGAATGGATGGCGTCCAACCTACTAGCTTTGGGAACTTCAAGTCCTTTTGAACCTACTTGGAGCCTACTTGGAGAGCCTACTGAGAGCTGTCGAAAGCACTTGGATCGACATCGTCGTTGCAGTCGTAGTCCTAAAAGGTCAAAAGAAACTGAGAGAAGAACACATTTGAATAAAGATAATAAAGGTCATGAAAGGCCTAAAGGCATGAAGAAAAAACAAGAAGCTACTAGGAACAAGTGCATGGAAACGAACGGAGCAAGAGGACGCTACGAACGTAGCTCCTGGCATTACTACTAGTAACAAGGAGGCTACTAGAAAAACTGCGCAGAAACGAAGATTTCTTCCGTCCAAAAGCGACAGGAGGCGGTGACCAGCACAAAGTCAGGTCTTTTGCTGCCGAGCTCTTCGGACAGGGTGGGAATGAGGAACGAATTGGAGGAAATTAGGAAAATTAGAAGAATCATTTTCTTTCTAAGAGCGATAGCCTCCAACCCTGGTAGCAATGGCCTCAAACCTAAGCGTTTAGACATTTAGAAGAACAATTGTTTTCTTGCCTGTTCCTTGAACTACTATTTGAATTAAGAATCATTTGTCACTCGTTTTTCCTTTCCCGCATTTCCCGGAGTTTCTTGACGTCTTTTGCTGTAAGCAGAAGAGGTCTTGTTGGCGGTGTTAGTCTAGTCAGTTCTTTAGCTGTTCCTTTTTTTCGGTCCAGAAAGAGCGATGTAGCTGCAGCTCCAATTTTCTGGTACAACTGTAGATTCTGTAGATGATTCTCGAGGTTCTTCTGCAGAGTTGAAATGAGCCAACTCGTTATGCCGAAATCATACTCATGAAAAACATTGCTTTTAGGAGCAAGGATGCTACGTTCGGGGCTCCTGGCCTTAGGAACAAGAAGCTACGAACAAAGGGCATCGCGGCATCGAACGGAGCGATCGGACGCTAGGGGCGGTTGGAGGCCATCGCGTCGACGAGAGGAGAAGCCCAGCGAGGGTGAAGTCGTGGCAGTTGGACCCGGCTCAGTGAAGGACAAACCACGCGAATCGCGACGTTCGAAGGAACAAAGAAAGATGAACACAAAGCGTCACAATGAGCAGAACAGAAAGAAGAAAGAACTAAGAACAGAAAGAAGGAAGGTTAAGGTCGAGAATCCCTCCCGATTTCTCGCCTCTGCATGCGGAAACTGCGGCTTGTAGTGAGAAGATGTTGAACGTCCAAGTACCTCAATGCTTGCGAAATCGGGCAGGACACCGGGGTGCAAATTCCCGTTTGGACTCAGGCTCGCAGCTTTCTTTGCATTTTTATTTGATCGAAGAGAAAGAAGTTCAAACGACCAGAGGCTGGAATGAAGATTCTTCATGGCAAGTATGGTGTGGAAGAGGTGCGGTGTTGCGGGATGGACAAAGCAAACTCATTGGGAATAAGCAAATCATTGAACATAAGCCAAGAACAAGAAAGGAAGCACATGATTTCGTCCCTTTTCATTCCACTTCGACAGCAAGGTCACTTACAACGACGAGGAGCATGTTCTTGCCCAGAGCCTCAGCCTGGGGCATGAGCTTGGACGGAATGAAGATGAATGAGCTAAGAAACTCTTGGATGTCCTAAGAGTCTTGCTCACTTCACTAAGAACGAAGCATGAAAAGCCTCCACCAAGGATGCGCTGCTTCGTTCAACTGGAACTCTGAGTCACTGACTTTTCTCTGCATAGCGTGCCCCACTCGAACTTGAATTCGAACTCGAGGTGGAACAGTTAGAACTGAACCCTAGAAGCATAGAAGGCCTCGAACTCGAAGTCGATCTCGAATTGGAACTCAAGCTGGAACAGTTAGAACTCAACCTTGGAACTCTAGTAGGTGAGTGATGTTCCGGGTGTCCGGGTGGCTTAGGTCTTCACTTCTTTCGGGTTTCTGCTGTGAAATGGGGCGAGACGGGCTTCACTACTTTGGGGTTTCTTTGGGCTTGTCGGGGGTTCGCTGGGCTTGAGGATCTCACGGCGTTGGAAGGTTTTTTCGCTTGGCTTTGCGCTTCACTTCTGGGTTTCTTTGGCTTGTGGGCGAGACGGGCTTCACTTCTTTAGGGTTTCTGGTTGGACTTCTAGAGCTGTCTTTAGTCTTTACCTGTCTTTACCTTGTCTTTGCGTTCAACTTTAGGCTTTTTGGGGTTCGGCTGGCGGGTTCGGGTTTCTTTGAATTTGGCTTAAGGCTTCACTTCTTTAGTTTTTATATAGGGTTGCTTCACTACTCTCTTGACTTCTTTAGAACTTTAGGGTTTCTTTGGCTTTGGCTTACGGGATTTAAATGGATCTAATGATTGGACCTTGTATACCGGAGTTTTGTCGTTGCGGTTTACAACTTTGTTCGAGCACTATTGTTTGGAAACGGTAGCCTATGAAAGACTGCAAAGCTTGATCTATTTCGCCAAAAGCCTTTTCCCAATCTAGAAGAATCAAGCAGAGATTTGTCTCTCAGAGATATCCATTTCAAAATCAAATCTAGTCGCATTTTTGGTAAAAGATTTGCCTTCTTTGTAAATGGAAGCTATATTTGCACGGCCATGAAAGCAAACATTTTATAGGTCATGTAATCTGCGGATGGGCTCCAATCGATTGCATGTCCACATCCATTTACAACTGTAAAACGCCTCGAAAAGGCTCGATTTTTCCAGATTTCGAATCCATTGTGCTGTTCACGAAGCCACAGCGCCTTTTGCGTGCAAACGCCTTTGTTCCGTTCCAGAAGTACAATGTAGCTGACAATTCTTGCTAGTCCCCCCTAGTTAGGGGTAGGGGTTAAATTGTTGCGTTTGCGCATCTATTCGTGAAACGGAGTTCTGTTCGCTGTCTCTGTTTTATAAGCTCACGCACTTCATGCATATCACTTGTTAGTGGAACAAGCGCCTTGCTTTTCCAAGTCATGTGCTGCGTGATTGGCAAGGGTGATTTCCGGGTCGAAGCAGTTGAAGGGGGTCCGAAGACTGTGTTTTCATTCAGTCGTTTTCGCAGAAAGAAACATGGCAATTGCTGCGCCTTTCATGGTCACAGCGCCGTTTCGTCCACGACGCAATCCAACAATTGCATCGAAGCATCGCAGCATGCCATGCAGCGCCATGGACATTGTTCGTCGCAGAGTCCATTTGCAATCAACACAGGGTTTTGAAAAGACGAGTTCAATGTTACGAAAAAGAAAGCCACGGCATTTTCATCAAGATATTCATTTGTGATAACATTTGCTGCTTGACAGCGCAATTCGCCCCTCATGTCAGCTGGTGCGTACATTCGAACAACCATTCCTGGATATGGTTGCTTTGACATTCCCTTGGCCACTTCAAACACAGCTGGTGGTACAATTTCTTTGCTGCAGCAGTATTTGCCAGAGCGTCCGTGGCATGGCAACAAAATGCTCTCGTGTGGACTTTGTCAACTACAACCCGAGGACATCATTGATTCCCGCTGCAGTGCTTTGGTTTTCACCAACTACTCGGAGATCAGCAACCAGGAGATGGGATGATACTGGGAAACCTGAGCAGGCGATAGATGTGGTTGTCGATCTAAGGTCCTAATAGGTAGCGTTGATGACGATGACCCTGGAACATGTCAAAACCTCATTTGGCGAAAGTTTTTTCTCGAGTAAATATTTTTGGCGAAAGATATGGCTAAAGATGTT